GCTGGGCAGCCCAGAGCGTGGCACCGTCCTGGAGAGCCACCAACTGTCACCCCCCGGGTGCTTTCTGACAGAAAAGAAGGGGGGAAAGGGTAGTGAACAATTGGTGCCTGATATACGGACGGACTGGGGACCGAGAGGCTGCAAAGCAGAGCCGCGGAAAGGGACCTCACCTTGAGCCCTGCGGGCAGTTTTGGGTACCACAATTAAGAAAGACATTGAGTTGTTAGAGAGCTTCCAAAGGAGGGCAACGAAGGTTGTGAAGGGATTTGAGCCGAGGAAATGTGAGGAGTGGCTGATGTCACTTGTCCTCAGTCTGGAGAACATAGTGAAGAGAGGCCTCACTGCAGTTACAACTTCCTCATGTGGCAAAGAGGAGGGGCAGGCACTGATCTCATTCTTCTCTATGGTGACCAGTGACAGGACCTGAGGAAACAGCATGAAGCTGAGTCGGGAGGTTGAGGCTGAATGGTAGAAAAAGGTTCTTGACCCAGGGGGTGGTTGGCACTGGAACCGGCTCTCCAGGGAAGCTGTCAGCACCAAGGCTGACAGAGTTCACGAAGCATTTGGGCAATGCTCTCAGGCCCATGGTGTGACTCTTGGGGTTGTACTGTGCATGGCCAGGAGCTGGACTTGATAATTCTGATGAGTTCCTTCCAACTCAGTATTTTACGTTTCTGTGGTTTATACATAGAAGCTGTGTCAGTAACCTCCTAAGTGCAGCTCCTCCTATATTGGCTGGGTTGTAATTTTCATACAAGCTACATAACCCCAGCTGACTTCTGCGCCTGCTCAGGGGAAAGGTCTTCACATGGGCAAGGTCTTTTTGACCTTCATGAGTGATCTTTAGTATAATAATGAAGATAGACGAACTATAGGATCCATGGACCTTGAGTCTTTTGCCAAGGTGGTAACATATACATAGACATACATCAATATATTTACTTCATCCTTACAGCTTGTTAGCTCCAGGATGTCCTGACTAAGGGATGCTAGCTGCTATCTGTTCTACTGATTACGTCTCCTATCTTGATGAGTAGACTTGAAAGTATATAAAGACCAAATATCAAGTACATCCTGGTTTAAGATAATTTGGACATAATGCACATTTTGCAATACCACCACATACCTCAAGACCCACCAGCTTCTCTCAGACTCCCCCACAGCCCAGATCTCCAAGCAGCTTCATGGGTATTTTGAAAATTTCCATCTTCAGCACAGTCCAAATCCATGACAATGTATGTGTGTAATTCATCTGAACAACTGGATGAGAGATGACCTCTGATGACTACAGCAATACCATCTCCCCAGGAGATCACAGAACCTTGTCTAAACCAATGATGGCAACAAACCAGCCAGGGAAAGGAGCATAGTTCCCACAGTTCTGCTGATTTCTAAGGTTACTGAGTTTCAAGGGTCAAAGCATTGATGTAATTCTTTGCAAGACTGAGATCCTCAATCTCAGTAAAGAGCCATGACCGTTTCCTTCTTAAAGAAACATCTGACAGGTTTTCCTCTATACCCCAAATACTTATAAACCAGAAACCATGCAGCAAGGGCTTTGCTCATTTTTTAATCATAAATTCCCCAATGACCTTAAAGTCTTCACACCCTGATAAAATACACAGCTTCCTTACCTGCTCTAAAGTTGTTAACACAAAGCAAAGGCACAAAGCAGTGAAATTCAAAAGCTAAATCCACTTAATCTTGCACCAAAACATTGGTTCAGCTGAAAAATGGAAAAATTAAGAACATTAAACACATTCTCCTTCTTTACACTTATTTGCAGAAATGAAATGTGAGCAAATGGAGGATGAGTCCCTGCAGTTAGTGTGGGGCTGAAAAGGGCTCTCTGTGCCACCTGAACACAGGCATAATGGCAACTACTCAAGGAAGAGTGGTCCTGATGCTTCAGGCACCCATACAATCTTGAGTACCTAAGAGAAATTACAGTCTGACATGACTGCCTGTGTTAGCCTCTTAAGGTTTATAGATGTTGATACACTTTCAAGATATTACTCTTTTTTCACACTTTATACAAAAATATGTATCAGTATCTCATTTCATAATCTCCCATCACCCAAATCCTTATTCCCATATCATAGTGCTCCCACCCATCAGGTGTTAGCTCACCATTAATTTGTAGTTAAAAATTTAAGACAGAAAGAGTAGCTCCTTCCCTCCAGCATAAAAAGGAACTGTACAAACACTCTGAATATGGAGGCAGAAGGCAGTTTTCTGCATGGTCCTTCACTACCACCTGCTTTTGCTACAGATGGATCCAGCTCCTGACATCCTTGTGCTCTTCTAAATTCTACCCTATGCTTAGATTAGGAGCAACACCTTCCCACCAGTGACTAATTCACATAGGCAGTGAAACATGGCGCAATTGTTATTTATTCAATTTGGAAGGATCATGTGCAGCCCCCATGGAGAAACAGCTCCTTTGCTACAGTATATGACCACCTTAGGAAGAGCTGTAAGATGTACTGCCAAACTCTGGACAGATCTCCAACTCTCACCTAGTAATTAGGTTGAAGACATCTCCCTCTAAAACTATTTCTGTATTCTGTACTGAAATATCCTGCATGTTATTAGGAAGTTACTGAGATGGAACTAAGTTAATGACAGGCACAGGAAAATATCTGCTGGCTCCAGGGTGCTCTCAGTTATGACTCCTTCTGTGCAGCAACAATTTACACTTATGAGGACACTTCATACTCCTGACTGACTCTGTTGTGAATGTGTATTTGAGAAGGCAATTTCCATTGCAGTCTAACTTCTAGTTAAAATGACAACACCAGACCTTCTAGAATTCCACCTGTAGTCCTTTGTGTTGGAATGGCAAGTCTTTTCATCTCCTGTGACACCACTTGCTAAAAGAGGATTCTAAACACATAGAGAAAATGCTTCAGTGTGTGACAGGAAGTGATGGAAACAGCCTCTCTTGAGTAGTGACGCCTGATATCTCTTATTTTCTCCAACACTTTAAGCTCACACGGTAAAAACCTGCAGGTCCAGGAGGCTCAGCCAGCTTTGACATACTGTCATCAGCCAACAGAAACTGTTTTATCAGAGTCCTGGAAGCTGAGTTTCAAAAAGAAAAAAAATATGCATGTACGGTACACATGTAGCCCTGCTTCTCTGGAACCAGCAATTAAAGCAACAGCTTCTCCAAAGCACCGAATCTGATGTCTCAGTTATGAGGTTTCCATTTCTCAAGATAAAAACACCCCAGTTGTCACATCCAGAAGCAGTGCTCATTGGGTACAATATGCCCTGAGATGGAGGGGTTAAATTGCTTCAGCACCTTTCCCAAGTAACAAGGGGCTAGACTCAAAATTCTGTTTACTAGCTCGATTGAAAAATAATTATATATATATATATTTCTATATAAGGTCTAGAAAACAAACTAAAGAAATGCAATTTTGAACTAGAATATTCCAAATAACAGTGTAAATGCATGCAATGTATATTTAGCAATCTAAAAGGAGAAACGGCATTAAAATAATTTTCTTCTTCACCACTCATTAAAGACAGACAGCAAAGAATTTAGAAAAACAAGTTTGCTTTTTTTAAACTACAGTTTAATCAGATTTAAAGACACAAATTAGAAAAGAACATTTATAGGCAAGTTAAAAACACCTTTAAAACATAACAGCATGCTGCTTCTGCAGCACTGCTGAGACAAATTAGAAATAAGTAATTATTAAAATATCACAATCACAGTGTAACTAACAGTGGTATTTTAATTTTACCATACACCAACACTTAGTTTATGGATCTGTTGAAAAATAACACTTTTTAAAAAATATATATTTTGGAATAATAAAAATGAAATTCACCGACAATGTATTATAATCTGAACCAGGAAAGGCAGATTTAGGAATACTGTAGCTATCCACTTTTAGGGGTGTTCTCTCACCTTAACATACGGGTGGTTGGAGGCATAACTACTTCTGCATTGAGGTAAAACTATTCCTTTGAACGTGTAACCAAGGCAGGAAAGAATAAAGTTCCATATTTTAAATTCTTAAATTGAATAACTTATTACAACATCTTTGAATAATTCTATATTACCCATCTTACACTATTTTTCATCCAATACATTTTGAATGTTCTCTTCTAACTGATCTAGAACACATCTGAGGTCTGGGATTTAAGAGTAACTACCTAATTACTATTGTAGCATTTTGACACCTTTGTCACAGTAAGACACATCAGCAGATTCTCCACAGAAATAGTCAACACCACTGGACAGAAGAGGTACAAAGAAAAGATGTAAAGAGAAACTGAAAAACATAGAGAAAGGCAAAAGATGCATAGGCAAATACTCCTTAACTTATTGTAGTAATTGTTGCACCTTTAATAAGTAGTGTTGCATTTTCTGATTACCAATCTCTAGGCACCCCATTTTCTTTATTTTTTTGTTTCAGATTACACTGTCCCAGTTTTCAAGTCTAATCTGGCTAGAGCATGGACCCCAGCTATCTATTCATATGACATATTATAGTGAAACCTAAATGAAAATCCAGCCTGGGGTACCTCCCCTTAGAGAACAAAAGGACGGAAGAAGATTGTGCAGAGGTCCCTTTTGCCAAGAGGTTTGTTTGGAATAAGGTGCTGGACTGAGTCACTAGCAAGACAAAAACCCTTCCTCCAGAAGCAGTCCTACCTCAGATCTCAGTCTGAAGTCACACAGTTTTTCAATTCAAAATTTATGCAATGTTTATGTGGATATGCACATGGGTTCAGAAATCTAAAACCATCTACAACCAAGACCAGGTCTAAGTCACTGGACACACAGCTAATGCACAAATGATGATCAAGTGGCAACATTTGCTTTCGCACATTTGTATACCTAAACTGAGCAAAACTGTGGTTTAAATATTTAATGTGATGGAAATGGATACATTTGATGGTTAGATTTTGTAAAAAACCTACCAAAAGCCCATTCTGAAATAAGTTTTAAGAAATTTTTTTTTTTTCATTTAGCTTTGACCATAATAAACAAGTGTTGCAGTATTTGTAATTGTAACTTTGCAGGGTGACTTTGTGGATGCCTGGATTTCATTATGTTTGCAAAATGTCTGGATTAAGACAGCAAACATGTCAAAAATCCAGCCAGATGTAGTACAGAGCAGCTGCAGCCTGGGTCACAAGCAAGCACAACCTCTGCCAAGCTCTGCACACAGGGTTAGCTCCTGTGGGAACCCTTCCAGTCACAGATGGGACATGTTCTGACCAGAGACTTCTCCACTGCCATCCTTTCCCACCAAGACTCTGAGGATGAAGATAAACAGTGCAAACTAGCTGAGATGCAGACAGATCTGGTAATCTTATGAGAGTAGGCTCAGTTCACTAGAGTGCCTGCTTACTTATTCAGAGTAGCATTTAAATACTTACTGAAGTGCTTATTGTCAATTGATTTTTAAACAAGAAAATTAAAAAATACACCAAGTGCAGTTCAGAGTATTACTGAACCTAAATAAATACATAAAGGTCAATATGTAGTGAAATGCTGTCATGAATCAGCACAGAACTAATGTGTATTTTTTTAATACATAGTCTGCATCATATTAAACACCCTAAATTTATTTCCATCTGTTTTTCTAACACTGATCACTTTTCTACATAGATGGTAGTATTTCAAAATTTTCAAAGAAAATTAAATTCTCAAACCTGATTTCAGAATTCAATGAGAATTACAAAGTGAAAGAATTAAAGATAAGGGAAATGAAAGCCTAAATTATATAGCTTGTGCTTTTAAATTTCTTTATCTTTCAAGGCCAACTTATAAAGTTGAACATGTGAAAGTTTACATATAAGCAAGTTACACATTTTTATGCAAACGCGAAGACACATTTGATCATGTATTTAAACAAATTGTCAACAACTTGTTTGCAAAGCTTCTGAGAGAAAAAACCCCTAGATTTTGCTAAAATTACTTTTGATATGAATTAGGAGGTGATGATCTCAACCATCTCCTCTGCATCAGAAGACATTTTACCACTATCCAAATCAATGCCATCAAGAGAGGCAAAACTACCTAGTGTGCACCCTGTCATACAAACCTAGCATTTATATTATTACTTATTCCCCTGGGGGAAACAGAACAAGTTCTTAAAGTGTAAAATTTCTCTAATAAATAATTTACTATATTGGTAAAACTTACACCATATGTCAGTGTAGAGCAGGGAATATACCAAGGTCTCTTCATGGTCTTCTCACTAAAGTGTGATTTGTAATCAAGAGCATATTGAAATGCACACCAATATTTTTACATGTAATACATCTTCAAATGTCACAAATTACTGAAATCTTGTCTACATGTCAACTTAAGGAATGGCCAGGGAAGAATAAGTTTCCTGAATAAGAAGGGCATATCTGTAACTGCAAAGCTACAAAGCCTTTTTGATTACAACAGTAGTGGGCACCACTGAAAGTATTATTTAAATATGTAATATATATCTCTCTTATTCATACAGAATCATATAAGTTAAAAAATGTTAAGCAAGCAAATAGTTATGATTGGGGTGACTGCATTTACTAACTAACACTAACTCATTAAGTGCCTGAATGAACTGTTCACAATAGGCAAATATTTGCAAAGCACCATAAAATTAGGAATGATATGTTGCATTTACTTTTCATAGTGTGCTGATCTGGAATACAGGAAACACTTTTACTTTTTGGATATACATTATTTAATAAGTGAAAGAATACTTTTAAAACCATGTTTCCTTCATGTCCAAAACATTTACAGGAAATATACTTTCCACAATTTTTGCTAGGAAGAACAATAAAAATCACTTCCATCCTTTCAAATTCAGTATTATCAAATGATGTGTGTAAAACCTAAAAATTATCTAAGCATTGGGGCTGGCTGCTCTTGACTTTATGACTGACTGGATAAAAAATATCCAGTGTGATAGCAAGGCAGAAAATGAGTAAAGCAGAGGGAAAGAAATATCAAAACCCCAGTCTGACTAAAATCAGGGTGCTGTCATTAAAATAAAACAGGTCTTTCCATAGTCCCCAAGAGAATTCATTCTTGTGAAGAGCAGATTTTTAGTCAAAGTACTTTTATATTTAACAATGGCATTTAAAGGGTAAATCCTAGGACACTATACTTAAATTCTGTGCTGAATTATTTGTAATATTTTTCTTGTGTTGCAATTACTGAGTTCAAATCATGAAGAAAAAAAGTTGTGTCCAATTTTGAAACCTGTATTTCGCCACCTGTGCTCAATGAAAGTATGAATGTATTTTCTTAGTTGTTTCAACCTCCCAACATAAAACATACAGAAGTTCTGAACAAAACTGTACCTCTGAATTCACTCATGTTAAAGTACCAGTCTGCACAACCCTAAACCTCATTTTCTGGGAGCCTTTACAACTGTTTGCATATTTCATTAAGAAGAGTTACTAAGCCTCCACAGCACACATGGGCACACATGCCAAAACAGTAAATCAAGAGCACGAGAACATAAATAGGAAAACAGCACATTGTACTGGCATCCAAAAGTGTTTTTTTTAAATAGATTTGGAGACTGCACCAGCAAGATGAATTTAAATTCAAGAGTAACAAATGCTGAAAGAATCAACCCTATTTCTACTTACCCACCCAGAAATGTGCAAATCTAATTTGTTCCTTTATGTAAATGTCCCTTCAAGTGCAGAATGCAAAAAAAGTCTTTCCTGATTCTGTATCTAACAAGGATGATCAAACTACCATGCCCTTACTCATTAACAAAAAGAAAACCATAATGATGTCAAAGAAGTTTATGACAACCACAACCCCGTGTAAGGGGAAGTCTGCCTGGGCAATCAAAGTAAGGATTTAGAAGTGAGATTATTTTAAAGATAACACAGCTGTCAGTGAAACAGCTGTATTGAAATGAACATCCCTCCTCATCTAAACAGACTCATCCACTCTCATTTCATATTCAGTTCCCCCTTTCACAGTAGATTAATTAGTGCCCAATTCATATATATGGGAACTTATGTTCTCTTCTTCCTGGAGTTTTAGGCAAGGAGCCAAGGGCCAGAGAGTTATGACAGCAAGGAAACAACTCTGACCTAACTTAGGGTCTGGTTCTTCAAGGCGTACTGTGATGATTTTTGCGTGGCAATATCCCCAAAGCTGAGGACCATCATTGCACTTCTGGCAGTAAGAATACTCATCCAACAGGAGCTAGATATTTGATTAAAACTTTAGGTTTCAAAATATTATGACAAAATTTTCTTAATCATTTGTTAGTTATTAATCAATCAACTGCATTATTTTTCTCTAGTATTATTTTGTATCTGGTTTAAATTAAGAATAAACCCCACATGGATAAACATCTTATATTTACTTAAAAAAATTATATGAAAATACAGAATATATGCAATTAAAATGTAGCCCTTTAACAGTAGTACTCTAGCACTAACCATCATCACAATAAATGATTGGAAATAGATATAACCACTATATTGTTTCCTTGATTTGTGGAATTACACTTCCATAATTCAGACAGTCAGATATTCTGAAGGACTTCTTTCTTTCATTATGTTACCCAGAAATATGACATGAAATTTGTATCTAAAATTCTAATTCAAAGAAAAAGCTTTTCCTCAAATTCACACACTTCTTTGGATAAAGGTTCATCAATTCTCAAGCATACAGAAATTGGTTGTGATAGTCATTTCATGTTTGACTACCCACGTGCTGGAGCTTCAAGGTAATTTTGTTATTTTATACTGAAGGCATCATCAACTAACTGATGCCTGAAAATTCAAAATAACTTTAAGTATTAAAAATTACTTTTGGTAAAACAGTTCTATTCTAGAACAAGTATTTATGGTATTTAAGGGCAAAACTGCACTTTCATTGAAATCCCAGTGCTTGTACATTGTCTTCTGTGCCTTGTGGCTGCCTTTCCCCCTCTGGCTGCAATGCCCACTTGGCAGTGTATTATTGGATTTAGGTACTTTAAAAGTAAAAGAAACTTTAGGTACTTTAAAATAAAGTACTTTAGGTACTTTAAAGTAAAAGAAACCTACATTAGAGCTATCAGCTACCAGCTTACCCTGGAAAAAGTAAATCTTCAGGTGTTTTTAATCTGTTCAGAAGGGCCATTTTAATCCATTCAGAGTAGTTATACTCTTTATTAAAGAAACCTAACTATAATTTGGCATCAATGTTTACAGTTCAGTAATGTAGTCTAATAGTTTGAGATAAGAAAACCCTCCAAATACTGAGATGCTTATTGCAATTCCCTTTGAAAGACTGCAAAGTCTTCTAGTGACTTTGCATTTCCTTTCATTATCTTCTTTATAGCACATAGTGTTATATATTTGAAATACTTTCCACATAAAATCAAACTTGAAATACCCACTTAGAAACAATATTTCAGTAAATAGAGGGTTTAAGGCAAGTCATTCAGTTGGAAAATTAATTTCCATTTGTTAATCCTAGACTGACACAATTTTATTCCACCCCATCAGTGCCTTGGGATACACAACGTACATTCAGCAGAGGGCACGCATATGACCCCATGGACATACGTTGCAAGTCCTGAGTGCCCATTGAAGTAATGGTAATATCTTCATATAAGGCGTGACCCACAGGGACATGGCATGGGAGGAGTTAATTTGTTTTGTTTCCAGTCTTGCTACTGTTTGTGATTTTTCCTAAGTAATGCATTCTTTTCTTACTAAATATCTTTGCAAACAAATACAAACCCCTTTAAAAGGTGCTAAAAATGGGTTTCTGAAAACATACAAAATATATTCATCATAGTATTTCCTCAATCACTGTTTTAATGCTTGATATCTGCAGGTTATTTCTTGATTCTGACTAAAACTATTATTTGTTGTGGAATAATTGTTCTTTTGCAAAAGACTTTCTTCTTCTAGCTTTCTGGACCACACAGGCTGGACACTTTCATGCTTTTTACTTCCTTTTTGAGTTCTTTTCAATGGAAAAACCAACAACACTAGGATGCTGGCAATATGAAGACAGAAATAACAGGAGCTAAAAAACAAACAGAAATAACAAATCAGTGAAACTCTGACCACTCTAACAAATATACTTTGCACATAAGATATGAAAACATTAATATTTTGTTTAAAAAAAGGAAAATAAGGGGAAAATTAAGTCTTCCCTCACATTATTTAGCACTGTATTAAGTGAACAGAAGTCTGCTTTCAACTTTTTTAACATGTTATTTCTGGGAAGTCAATATTTAGTCTTGCTATAAAATGTTTCAAGGGCAAATAGTAATTTCAAAGGTATCCTCTGGTTTTGTTTTTGGCTGGGTTTTTTCCCCTGCCTCCTGAAAAATAAGTCTGTTATGACAGAAAAGTGTGAGCAACACAAGACACACTGTTCAAGCACTAGAAACTTGCTACAACTCAATCTCAGAATTGTATCACTAAAATAGCTTCAGAAATCTTCTGCCACTGAAAATACTTCTATTGCAAGTGAAAGCAAAGGAAACAGGTAGAATGTGCTTACCTGTAAAAGGTGAGAGAGGGTTTCACAGAGAGCAGTACAAACGGCACGACTGTGTAACTTATTGCTGCTTGAGTTGCCATCCATGTTACAATATCATAACATAGTTTAACAGCAGCAGATTGAACAAAATAGTGTCTGATATTGTTTCTTATCTGAAAAAGCAGGTAATACTGAGTTAGCTGAGGAATAAACCTTGAGAGCTCAGTTTGTTGAATTGACAAAAAATTCATGGGATGAATTTACATGTTACAGTTTGGTGAAATATCTCTGAACTATTCAAAATGCCCATTAACTTTAATAATTGGTTCAAATTCCCTGCAATTCATTCAGGATGGGAATTCAGCATTTATCAATTTAAACAGAATTTAAATAAATTAATCCTACCTTAAATCCAATGCAAATTTGCACTGACTATCTGAATGAGGCAGAAATTGTATTCTATCAAGCCATACTGTGAATATAGAGGGCTGGAGTAAATGAAGGCCAGAATCTTTCTGTCAAAAGCCTCAATATAGTAAGCCATTTTTATACACTTGTTAATAAAATATATTTTAAAGCAAGTAGGATATACATCAGAACATACAAAATATCAGTTCTAGTAACATATTTCAGAGGTCTTAACTTCTGTCAAGTGGGATTATCATAAAATTACTCAAATTTCTATGCTGAATTTTCTTTTATTCTAAAATTCTGCTCAAAAGATTGAATACCAGAAGTATTTAAAAAACTCAAATCCAAATCCCACACAGGGTTGGGTCCAGTTTTTTTTAAGTCTATAATTATAAAGACATAAATAAATCTTTGCCTCTCCTTCCTTTGACTGAACTGTTCTCCTTGCTCACGCTCTGTCTTAGGTGCTGACAAACCAAGATGGGCTGAGTTCAGCCTCTGACCCCACTTCATATCACAGTTCCACCTCCCAGACACCTGCACTGAAGCAGTGCTCTCTGAAAAGCTGCACACCAGAGTACACTGCTCAGCCTCCTTAACCCCCAGTTTCTTTAGAACTCCTCGTTCCAAAGAATGTATCCAAAGCTAGCTCCTGCTGATTTAATTCTTTCCATTAAAAACCCTTTTTGACACTTCTAGTTCTTCTAACTGCCCTGTAGATACCACATTCCCACTCAGTTTTTTCTTAGTTAAGCTAAGTCAAACAAGTAATTCTAGCTACATACCCTTCATTCTGCCATCTCCCTCTAGTTATTCCTATGGTCACATGCAAGGACTTGATCCTGAGTTCTGTAGAACCCAGATGAAGCTTCACAAAATTTCTTGTAATCTTGTATTTTTAGGACTTGGAGAACAACTTTTAACACAAATCTATGGCTGCCACTAGCAAACACCCGGTTATGAAATCTGTAATGATTAAAGGTAGTAAAATAAGTTGTATACATGCTTAGGCATAACAGAACAAAGTGAGGATCAGTGTTGCCAAACTTTGCATTTAAAGGCTAGTGGAGTTAAATAACAATATGCTCTAACATATCTTAGTTAATATTAAGTACCTGTCAATACAGAAACTGAAAATACTTTTTTACTAGCCTATTGATTGATACATAGGAAACATGAATATAGTCTACTAGAGAAGCCCTGGATGAAGGGCAGTGAGCACTCCACTTACTGGGCTCATCTCACTAAGTAAACAACTTTTATCTGTGAACTGTCCCAGAACCTTGGCTTTTGCTCCAGCCCCTGGCTGACAAATGTCAAAAGTTCCCTGTCCCTGTGATAGATCTGGAAGAAGAAGAAAGCTGTATCTATTGTAAAGAAAGGAGTCAGTTCTGTCAAACAAGGACTATACCCATATCTTGTGAAGAAAGAGAAGCATTTGTTTTATTGATGTAGTAGCAATCTTAATCTGAAGTACCACCTTCCCCTAGCTATTATAGCAACCACAGAGCAGTCTGCTTCATTTCTCACTCCCCTGGTTCTTTCAACAAAAAGTGCTCTGTTATGCTCCTCTGATCTGATGTGTAATTTGCTCCTCCTTTCCACTGAGTGACTGATAAACCCGTCTCTCTTCTTACACAGCTTCCTCAGGCAGAACAGTGAGAGATTTCTTGGCAGATTTGCTGTCTCCATATGGTTCTGAATAGCAACTGCAAAAGCTTGTTAATATGACTGCACTATTGGCTGGCCAGCTTGAAATAGTAACTGCACTAGAGATTTTCATGTGCTGCTTAAGGGGGAACATTCTTTAGTTATCCTCCATACAACAGTAATGGAGAGAAATTAGGGATAAGGCAGACTCTAGAAATATATAGCAATGACACCCAAATTTTAAGCTACTCATCATCACTGATTTTTTCAAAATTATTTTAGATAACATCAGCATGCAATAGTAACACACTAACAGTTAATACAGAGGAAGAGCTTCCACAAAAGATACAAAGGTGCTACAAAGATGTTATAGGCTGTGTATAGCTTTGTTTGCTTCCACCAATCAAGCCCTCCTTTTCATCAATCATCCCCATTGTTCTCGTAACTAAAAAAAGTAAACACCGCTATCAGACAGATTGTGTATTAACAGTAAAGGGCATCCTTGGAGCAATGAACATGATCAATTTGCTTTTACAAAACTTATTATTTATGAAGATACTTGGTTTGTACTTACAGCTCGCGCTGCTAGTGTCATTAGTACTCCTGTTAAAAATGTTAAATAATATCCTGGATAAACCCCGTGCCAGATGGCAGAAAGAATGAAGGTTTGGATCGTTGGGCTGAAGGTGGCTCGCTCATAGCACACTCTAGCAAGTCAGAAATAATTCAAGATAAGTAACATGAAACAAATCACCCAGTCTCCCCAGCTATCGTTTATACTTTTACCAGTTTCATTTCCAACAAAGAAGTTTCAATGCAATTGCAGTTTTCTATTATTTAATAATGTTGTCGCTATATTATGGCTTACAAAAAACACTTAAAGCTATTCACAGCTCCTGATTCCAGCCCTCAGTGCTAAACTTGTGCTCAGTGCCATCACACATTGTCCTTACTCCTAATGAAGTGATACACAAGCATCCAAAGATGAGTTTTGGCATTAATAAGGGATCTTGAGCCATCAAAGAATGCGTTTGTAAAGCTGCACTGGAAGGCATAAACCACTGCTAGATTCTTGGGATGAGTCAGGTATGTTTTCCATAAAATAAGAGCAGCTTATAGGAACAGGGGAAAACGAATAACTACCTTCAATTTTGAATAATAAAGAAATTACAGTTGAAAATGTATCTGTGTGACACAATTAGGTGAGCATGGCAATGAAATTGTAATAAATACTCTAGTACTGAGAGAGTACTAGAGTACTCTCTAAATAAGGAGAATTATGAACTCTGTGTTATTTTAAAACTGAGACTCTGAATTTCTAGGCAAGGGCCTAGAATAAGGAATTCTAGAAGGAAGAAGTGGAAAAGGAATCCAAGAAAGGTGGTTTCCAGAAGACAACATTATATGACACAATGACAAACCATCATGATGTGGAAGAATGAGAGGAAACATGGTAAAGTCCTGATATGGCTTCATCAAGAGTTCTTTAATGCCTTTAATGATCTGAAAACCAAAAAGCAACAGGAAACATGGAAACAGATACAAACTAACAAAGCAAAAATAAACACCACAAGCATGCATGAGCACAAATCTATAGCTAACATACAAAAATGAGTTTTAACTAAAAAGGCTATAGACAGGAATATGTTTAAAGGTTTTATAACCACAAAGCAAGTAAGAGAGAACGAGAAGAGAATGCACATCTGTTATTCCAAGATGGCAAGCTAATGATACCGAGAGCCACAACAGCCACTACCAATCTAACTACTTTACTGCAACTTCCACATAAAGATTACTGAAACCTACTGATGTAGTCTATGTTGAAGAGCAGAAGGTAAAAAGACAGGATCTGAATAGGGGAAGATAAAAAGTGTAATTTTTAAATTTAGTTTGTTTCAGTCCAATAGATGTGGTAAGTTTTATCTTATAAGGTCTTAAGTGGGATATGTGCACAGCTCCCTCCTCTTGCTAAAGGGCTTCATTCACAGTGGCAATTAAGATGAGAACATGGGGCTGGCCTAATACTTAAGACTGTCTGAGGACATTTGCCCAAGACAGATCACCTTAAAGAGGAAAGCAACACTGGCCAGGCTGAATAGTAAATAGAGACATTTTTGACAAAGAATCTATCAGCCTCAGGCGCAGCAAAGCATTAGGAAAATGTGTGCTGAGTCAGGGAGACATCTTGGAGCAAAATACTTTTCATCAAAACCTCATCTGACACTGCCAGAAGTCACCCCACCAACACAATGACCTCTGTCTTGGCCAAAACAGAGCATCCCTGGTAGGCACAGAGTAGCTGCATCCAGATAGGGGCCTGTCAGTGCAGTGCACCATGCCAGGGAGCAGTGTCTCATCCCTGCCAGCTGCAGGCACATGGATTTGTGCCAGGCTTTTCTAGGGGGCATGTGAAATCACCACATTCACACCAAGCTGGAGCACCCACATCTCCCATAGGCAGTGCATGCGAGCAGGATTTTGTATCCCACACATCCTTAGGAGAGGAGGTGCAGTTTGCATGTAATTGTGTACGTACAGATGTGCTTTTTCATCTGCTTGAGATTAGCTGCAGAACAGTGTTTAAAAATGTTTATTACTCCAAAACACTAAATACATGTGAAATGTTACGTGTTCTAACACTGCTATTAATTCTAAATGTATATGACTGGTGGCTAATTACATCTCATTAATAAAGTGATACATGTCTTCAATCTTTATTTGGTTTAAGGTACTGAAATTATCCCTGGAAAGCATTCAGGAGTGAACAAAACTCACTAAATTAACTAACCAAATTTCAGCTGTATGAATGCAAGTGGGTAAAACAGTACAAAAAAATTCCTCAGATTTCAATTTCAAAAAGTAAAAAGTAAACTTAAATGCTTCCATGGATTTGGTAATAATAAATCTTATTCAAATACTTCATTTGATGATCCTAGAAACAAATGAAGGAAATATGGTCATCACAACAGGCAGAGAAAATCTATTCAAATATAGGTGGTTCAGGTTATCCATAATGCTCTAGAAGTGGGAAAATGCATCAACTGATCAGCAAGGTACTGTCTTCAGTCTGTTTCTATCATTTCTTTACTAACTTAGGTGGTAGATTGAGAAGTATTTCTTCCACCTTGTCTTCCCTTCTTTTTTTGAGGTGGAAGGTGGGATGGATGAGATTGGCATTGTTTTCTTAATAGAGAGCACTAGAATCCAAAATGATCTTGGCAGACTTGAAGGATGCTCTGAAATCAACAAGATGAAGTCCAAAGCATAGAACATCTAATAGGAAAAGTGGAAGAGACAAACCAGTACCATTCCTGTAACATTACTCAATAAATGTAGCTGAGTATGAATATGGATCAGCAGTATGAAACACTGAGTATCAGCTAAGCATGAATCAACAGTAAATTGCTGCAAAAAAAAAGACAGATAACACCCTTTCTAATACATCACAGTATTACCCAAAGAAAATAATTAAAAATAATCCCGTCAAATTAATCAACTCTGCCTTGAAAAAACCAGGGGAAAAATCTTGAAGGTCTTAGCAGAAGTACTACATATACTCTAAGAAGACAGAAGGTTTGGAAAGATGTCAGAATTGAGCAACAAGAACCACAGAGGTTTTGCAAACATGACCAAGGACAAATGGGATGAGATGGCTTCTTTGAAAAAGAGAAAAATTAGACTGAGGGAAAGGTAACAGCTTTCCCAGCCAGGAAACATTATAATGATATGTGTTGTTATATATGTAACAATGCTACATATGATACTATGTAAATATCTGTATTAACTTGCATGCTTGTAACAATAATGCCTTTAAATTGCTGAATACTATGATACACATTATATATTCACTAAACCTCTTTGTGATTTGTAGCCCCCTTAACTGTCTTTTTTACAAGTTTGTTTTTACACACATCAGGCTTTAACTGATGGTTCCGTTTCTACAATTATCAGAAAAGAACAGAACAAATGCTAATGTCTAGTATTTCATGTGAGATAAATGGCTGAAGTTTTAGGTACTTCTATAAATGTCAAAAAAAGTGAGTAATTAAAAGTGGATGTTTAAAGTAATCCATGAGTTTGTCCTCTATGCAAATTGTTGGAGCATTGCAACTAACCAAACAATTAGTAACAAAGTATACACTCTCTACCACTATTTATGGACCTATTTTACTTGCAACAAAACGTCCACAGAACATCCACCTTTTCACACCCTTTTACACTGACAGAATCAATTTAGATCATCCCCAATAATTCTTTTATTATTGTTTTTAAAAATACTTATTAAAAGAGATGCTTTAATTTTTCTTCACATCATCTTTCATAATCACCCTTCTTTTATAATCACCTGACTTGCATTTTTTTTTCTTTCAATTTATAACAGAAATATTATGTTTCTTCAATGATAATTTTTGTTTAGAATCACTCCATTTAGGAGATTTCAAAGTCTGTTGAAATATAACCTCTTCCTATTATGTTTTAATACTGTTAAAGTTCTGTTCTCTAATTAAATTAAAAAAAGCTAAATTACATATTTAGTTTTTGAAATGCTACATTTCAATACCTGCAAACATGCAATTTTTTGTTGACTGTCCTAGCAATAGACTCCATTGACCATTGAGCCAACCAGAATAATCACATAAAATTCAATTTCTTTTTTAAACTGGATGAGCAAAATATTTAGGGATGAAATTATGGAAGAAAGAAAACATACTATGAAGAAATTTGGTGGAAGAGACATCCAATTGCCAGCTGTCCTAGAATAAGAGGTAAAGTCCTCTAAGTGATCCCAAGATAGGGGTCTCAGTTAAAGTGGTGCCTGTGGATAGGAGATCAACTCAACAGTGTGACTGGAAGAAGGGAAACAACACCCATGAGCTACTCAAGAACGCTTCTGCTTTCTCCTTACCACAAAGAAGCAGAGTGATGTAATTCACAGGGCACTGTACCTGCTCCCCAGGCAAGGAAACAGACTGCAGAGCTGAGACAGAGGCATTTGGAATTTTTGCTGACAGCACATTGTAGGGTTTGACTTCTACACTCATAATGGAAGGAGCACAGAAAGTCCTCTCACAGAACATACAAAGTTCCTGCATCACTCTGTGGCTAAAAATAATGCAGAGCTTTCACAGGCTGAGCTTACACTTTGCCTGCTGCTCTCAGCAACGTGCACTGGCTGAATGCTAAGAGAGGGGGAAAAGACACCTCCACAGATTAACAGTTTTAGGTTCCCTATGGCCTGTGAAGAAAAACAGAATCTATCATAACCTGATTGTTTACACTATGAGAGAAGTCCTCAACTCAGAAGCTTTACTTCAAGTATTACAAGAAGAATCTCCTGCACAGCTGCTAAACAAGTGATGTTTTGTAGGAGTTAGCTCCAAATGTTATACCATCTTCAAAGAAATATGGATCTCAGAAGCTTCAGTGAAAAAAAAAATTCCTTAAAGAAATAAATACCTTTTGAGCCAAAGAGCTGTTTGGATATTCCAGTTATCAAGAAACATCTTGAAACTTGTGGAAAACTGTAAAGTAAAACAAACTAATTATTTCTGTAATTGCACAGTGTCACAATGTGTTTCAAAATTCTTGTGTATAAATTATAAATCCCCCCCACCCAAATTTGTGATGAGTTGAATAAGTTATTTACTCAACTACGTATAACCACATATTATTTTGGAAGTCAATTGACAAGTAGAACACGTTCAAAACAGGCTATTTTCCACCCTTTTTTAAAGGTGTGAAAACATCATTTTTGACTTAGAACATACTCACTATCTAAAGGAACAAATGTGTAGGAAAAGTTATTGAAATTAAGATTAACTACCTACATAGACATGTGGGGTTTTTTTTGAAAGAACCAGAAACAAACCTCTATTTGCTGGATTCTCAGATTTGATATTAGATCCCAACGCGTAACTCCATTTTTATCATAGCCTCTAAAGCCAAACCCCGCTGCATTATTAATTGCATCTGCTGCAATGAGACAAGAAGAAACAGATTAATTATAAACTGTCAGTATTACAAATCACATAACAACATATAGTTTGTTCAGAATGTTTATCGCATTTTAAAGACTACATTTATTTTTTTCTTTTAAATAGTGAGGATCAATTGAACAAACAGAAAACAATCCAAACAATATTAGCTTCCAGTTCAAAAACTTGCACAAAAGCATAAGAGGTAGCACTAGCTACTTCACAGTACAGATGTTCCCTGTCTCCCATACCACTTACTTAGACTTGCTTGAGCAATCAGACAGAAAAACAAACCCAATGAGATGCATCAAGACTACAAAACTGTAGCTGTTATGATTTGAAACAGCAGCTCAATGTTCACATGCATGTCTTTGGTCTTCATTGTACAGCAACAGTGATGCTTAAAGCATAAAGATTAAATTGTGGGATTCCCTCCATGCAGGTGCACATTCACAGCACCCCACAGAGAGCAGTGCAAATCGAACAGACAAAACCAGGAATTTTCTAAGGAATGCAGAGCTCGTCAAACTTCCACTAATAGCACAAGGTCACTGTTACAACACCTTTGAATGTGAAGTGTTTACAGTGCATGTCAAAGGTCAGATGTTCCAAGCAAACAATATTTTTTCCTAGGAGAAAAAGCTTCTACTGTCATCTGGGCTATGCAGGAAAATACAAGGGATCTCTACTGCCTGTCACTTTCAGTCATCACCTTTGCCTGAGCTTTGTTAGCTCAGACACTAACATTTCCTCAACTGATTTTCCAAATTAGGATGGCCACACACAAGGAAATTACATGTGTTTGAATTTTTAATATTTTTACTTCCTTGTGATTTTTTTTTTAGTGTATTTGAAAGTGACAAAATTTGCTGCCTTACATCTGACATTGCTATGCCAACTTCAAATACTGGGCAATAGTTTCACGCTCAATTAGAAACAGCTGGAGATACAAACTCCATAATCTTTTGCAAGCTAGAATGCAAAGACTGTAACTAGAGTAAGTACTCATTTTATTAACTAGCATTTTAGTATTCATTTTAAGTAATTAATTTCGTTAATACTTTTTTCCAGTATAAAGAATAGTAATGTACAACTCAAAGGTGTAACATCCAGTAAAACTGTTAAAGCCCCTCACATTCTACTCCTACTATTATAGGTTTAGAGGAGACAAAGTGGAAGGAGGAGGGGTAACAAACTAGAAGTACAGAGTTGGCATAGTTTATTTTCTTTGGTATTTACCAGAGGAATGCTAGCTCTACACTGCTAGCAAGTGCACAGAGGAATCCTACTGAAGTATTAAAGGCAAAAAAAAGCCCAAGTGAAATGATTCACTTTTCAGATGACTACTACTATTTATAGATAATGAAACGGGTGTATAGGAGCATAATATTCAAAAGTATTTATTTCCATAACAAGCCCCAGAACTACTATATCCAGACAAGCTGCAAGTATTTAATTCATTGACCAGGAATGAAACCAGCAGCTGTAAATGAGTCATGTTGCTCTGCTACCCTAAAGCTTTCTTTATTGCATTGTTCCCACAGATTTTCTCTCAAAAGAACTATCAGACAAATATGTAAAACTGGAGAGGAGGAGGAAGCTGATGAAATCTGTTGTGTGAGCCACTTTCAAGATGTCAGCTTACTTAAATAAAGCATCTTCCTGTTGTACACATCGTTTTTTTACAAGTAACATGAAGGGAAATGCAAAATATTCTTTATATGGTATAATCAATTCAAGTGTCTGAAATAAGTTACTAAGCACATTCTCACCAGTCAATTTTTTATAAACTAAGGCTAAAACTGAAGTGTTACCCATCAAATTCTGAAAATGCCACCTACTATTAACAACAGTATCATACACCTGAATTCCAAAGTATTAATTTTCCTTTGTGATTGAATAACATCAAGCAAATTACTAACCACAGAAAAAGGTTAAAATTAACTCTGAAGATATGCCAAGAATAAAGGTACCAAAATAAATTTTTAAAAATCATAAACAAAAAGGACTGTACATCAGACTAGATTAACTACTACTTTTCCTTTTTTTAAAGTTACTGTTCATTGGAACACTATCACCTTCCAAAAAGAGAGTGATCACTTCTCAAAAAGAGACTATTCAATGTACTTAATACCTTGAAAGACTTAAGTGCAATCAGGTTTTCCTAAGGCCTCAAGAGGGCACTGCCACTTTTTAATACACACAAGTGTGCACATCTCAGATGAGTCTCAGTACTCTTTGATACTCATCAATGCTCTGTTATTATTATATTTTTAAATATATACTTACCTAAAGTCCATGCAAAATAATACTTGGGTCTGGCAGCCATAAGAGACACATACAGGTAGAAAAACCTTACAGGCCATGATGCTGTAGCTCTGAAGTTATCATCAATGTTGTATTCCACAGGCAAAGTTTTTGTAATAGTCATGTGGAAGAGCAAGGACAGTCCACAGATCAAGAGCTTCTGTGCCACGGCTATCTGAAAATTTAAGGGAGATTCTGTAAGCTTCAATTTTTGTTTATCTTTTGGAAAAAAAGGAAAGCTATAATCTTTCTTTCCTATACAGACATACATATATGTTAATTTTTCAGTAATAAATATACAAGCAACTTTAAAATAGTTTATAAAAAAATCTCTGTTTTATAGAGACTCAAGGAGTGTTATATTGATCAAGTTGTGAGCATCACTTCCCATGGCCAACACAATAAAACCAGTCTGACTACAGTGACTCTCTAAAAGTCCTTTTAATAACCAGAGGACCTTTTGCAAGTCAATTTTTTTTCTTATTTTCCTCTCAAATTACTGAAGCAATTAAATTGTTAAGACATCATAACACAAAACATATAATCTAGGACAAAGTAAGATTATTACTGCAGAGATTCCAGAACAATGGCAAAACTTCAGTTTCTTTTCAGGACCCTTTGGCATAATGCAGGTGTTCAATTTCTGCCCAACTCAATACATCAATCATCTCTGTTACATTATCAAAGCATCTAAAATTCACTAATCTGATCCACATGCCAAAGGCAGACACCGTATTTTGTGAAAGACCCCAGTAACATACTAATGCAGGCACTAACAAGAGAAGCTTGAGAACTAATTCATTGAAATGTAATTTTCAAGCTTTTGTTTTATGCAATCTCAATATTTAAACATTATTATATTAATGTAAATTACAATTATACAGATACTAAACTTGACAAGAAAACAATCAATCTACTTTCTTTGAAGCATCAGAACAAAAATATAGCCAGAATCTGTCTATGCTGCTTCCAGTACACCCATCCAAACTTTTAAAGATAACATCCCGTTTTACTGAGAGTTCAGCTCAACATCTAGTTCCAAAATAAAGGGCAATTTTTTTCCATGATACAGAATGGGGCAGTAAATGTCCAACTGAAAGCACACACTTTGGCAAGACACAACACACCAAAGATTGACCCAATTGCACAGATGTAAGAAGTGGTACCTGATTAAAGAGTGAGACTTGGAAAAGCTCTAAAACAGTGAGGGTATTTTTGGATATTGCATATATTTCACTTGGCTCATCTCAGAAGATATTTCAGAGAGGATCAGGAATCCCAATGATTTCATAAAAACATCAGCCAGATAATTCAGGAGGCAACTACCTATTAATGGTTAAGGCTGGTGCTTAATTATTTGTTTGCTTTCTAATGAACTTCATTTTAATACTTTCTTCTATTACAAGAGTTCAATGTGAAGAGCATTAATTTTCTAAAAACATTCCTTTGTCATATCAGAACTATTCATAATCCCTCTCTTTGCCACAGCAGAAGGAAAGTTCAGTTGGCTTAACACCTTCAGGATCTTCAATAGAAATGTATGTTAATAAAATCAGTTACTACTAGTACTAATGAATTTTTAATTCTGGTAATTCTGGTAAAAATACAAAAGTCTGATATTTGTAAGTATCAGAAGGCATCACCCCAAGTTTGAAGACATTTGCAAAGATTTAACTTTAAGGCCTAGGCCATAATTACAAATCATGTTCAATTCTGCAGGAGAAACAATAAGCTGGTAGCAGTAACATGCAAGTTAAAACATAAGTATGAATATATAAAACAGGTTCTTTCCATCTGAAGATGATCACAAAGTCTCAAAAAATGTTTTGGCCACTTATATTGTTATCTCTGTTCAAAGACCTGCCTTGTGCCACTGCCTCTATTTGCCAATTTTTCTATTAGTAAACAGATGTGATTCACCTGCCTATTCAACACCAAATATGCTTTGCATTTCTCTGAAGGTTAACTAAATTGTGGAGGTGAAAACACCTCTTTTATGAAGGAGCATTAGTTTTTCAACAAAATTTATTTTAAGAACAAATAATGAACTCATACAGTACTCTGTCATGAATTAAACTTTTTTTTTTTTAATTACACTACTTCACTCAAAATTATAAATCCCAGCATGCTGATACCATTTACAGGGATCAGAATCAGGGATTACAGGGTCCTTAGAAAACTGTGGTGGAAATAAATCTCCCACCTCTGGGGAGCTGCTGTTTCCAGACTGGTTTAAGCAGAGTTTCTGAGGCCAAGCCAAACTCAGGCTGCAATGCTAAAGAGTCCTGCCCTCCCTCCCTCCCTGCAGGTTTGGCTCGTGCTCCTTAGGCTGAGTCAGTTTAGAGAAACAAATCCGATGAAAACCTTGATTTTTGGCATTTTGCAGGAGGGGGTTTGTTGGAAATTTTTTTGGTGGGAACATGTGGTGGTATGTCTGGTCAGTTTTGGTGGGTTTTTGTTTGTTTTTTCACAAGTTAGTTTCAGACAAATCAAATTATCTGACTCAAACTACAACACTGTGAAATGATACCAACAAAATCATTGTTCAATTTTTCAATTACCTATTGAAGTGCATTTGGTAAAACATTCATTCACTTCCTATTACTTAATTAACCTTTCTTTGCCAAGGTATAAATGGGAAATCACTGAATTGCACAGTCACATACGAGGGTTCATCAATTTTTACAAGGATGAAGTAATTTGTAGTTTCATTTATTTTACTTTAAGTTTTCAACATAGAAAAATAATTGTTCTGTTGAGGAATTAAAAGACAGTAAAATGCAGGATAACTTTGACCTCAGAAGAAGCACAAAATACAAATTATTTTACAACAAAAAGGTAAAAAGACCTGTCTCATCCAGTTGTGATGAACAACTGAGCATTCCTGTATAAAAATATGAAAAATGATCAACACTGGGAAGGGAAGGAGGTACTTAAGCTAGAAGACAGTGCCAGGACAAAACTAGATGTGCATTAATTAGATGGGAATATAATTAGGTTGAAAGCTAGATACCCAATTGGAGAAAGCAGTTCAGTAGCAGCTTTTTAATTGAAGAAATAAAAGTAAAACACTCATAGACCTCAGAAAGTTTAGAAATAAATTACTGCATAAGCATGTATAGCATACACAAATAGATTTTTAGAAGTAGAGAGGAATCTTGAAAAATTTTAATGAACTTGTTCTTAATTTGATAAAGAATCAGTATTTAATACATAATATTTAGAGGTATTAAAGCACATTATTCTGGAGAGGTTGGTACCTCTGACAAAAACTATAGATATTTAAGCAAGAACATTATAACCTGTAGGAAGATTCTGCATAATAAGCAAGAAAGCAGATATCTGCTGACAGGAATCTTGTATTTTAAGGGTAGCCATAATAAAAAGAAACTTACAAAGACAGATATTAATTTCTGAGAGTTGACACCACTTTGAGCACCAACAACTGATAGCTTGCAAAAAGGCACAATAGGAGGGATATGAGAAGTAAGTTTTAATATGGTGACTTGTTTCATTTAACATGCAATGAACACAGCAAAAGTACTAATCCAAGTTAACATCATGCAGTCAACACACATTATAGAGGAGGAGGCTGGCATGAACTACTTCAGTTATATAACGGTATTTAACAATAAATGAAACTTACTGTAACTCAGCCCAAGGATTCCTTTTTATTTATGACATTAACATTTGCTGATCCCCACTATATTTCAAAATTTTTTGAGTTACCTAAAAATTTATTCTTCTTGAAATAATAACAAATTTAAAGTATTAATATATAAAGTTAATGGTATTTAAACGCTCTTCTAGAACAAGACAATGAATATTTTAATCGATACAGCAAATGCAGTGAAATTGTGTCATTCATCTTTCTCCAAAAGCACACAATACTCACTGGTGTTATAATATGCAGCCAGATTTCTCTAACACCAGTTGAGAGATGAAATACCAGGAGCATAAACAGCTTCTCTTTGTTTTTATGTCAAAAGCTAATGTAGCATAAATTGCAAAAGTTTCAAGCATCTTAAGAGCAAATAATTTTAAGGAAAAGCACTTACCTGAAAGAAGCAACCATCATAGGTTTATATTTATTTCTATTGACCTTGTCCGTATTACTAGCAAGATTATGTGGTAAAAAGCCAGGAAGTCCTATCAGGCAATCAGTGGATGTGTGTCCAGAAGTACTGACACAGGCAGGTTTGGTTTACCTCCATTTACGCAATAATTTTACTACATAACACTTTTTTGCAGAAATAGGATTTTAGTACACAAGACTTTACTGGGCCAAAACAACATTTAGAAACAAAAGTGCCTGCAACTTTGCTGATACAACACATCAAAGCAGAGCATGGGCCATGTGATGCTGATCTACACAAGGAATTCTCAGTGTCTCACCCTTCCTAACGTGTTCCACAGCTCACTTGTGTGAGCTCATGTGCTCTGTCAATTCATGGAGCACCTTCAAGTGTTATCATCCTCCAGCCATGAGTTTAGATTCCAGTTGTGCAAATTACTACAATCATACAAGATGGGTAGAATGGAACATGCAGAGTTCTCACCCACCTTTCCGAGGATGGAAGTGGTTGGAGATGCCCCAAGTGATTGGGAAGCACTCCCTGTTGGCCCAGCTGTGGGGCCATGACCTCTAGATGGTAGGACAAGACAAGCAGCTCCATGTGGGAAAACACCTCCACCTGCCTCAGCAACAGCTGGTCTCACAAGACAAGCAGAAGATGGGCAACTGGTGCTGGAATTAGCAAAAGCCACCCATGTGACCCCATAATTCTGCTTCTTACGGGAGGTTAGAATTATCTTAGGCATATGTAAATTTAAACGCCTGATATATTACTACTTAAGACAATATGAAAAGAGTGAAAAGATAATATTCAATACTCTGGGCATTAACCTAATTGGACTAAATTTTAAAAGTAACAAGTTTTGTGAGCTTCTGATTTAAATCCAGGTCATACAATCTCTCCTGTAAGGCATGATCAACTGGATTATCTTCTCTATGTATTTGGTCTCTTCTCTAGTAACAGACCAAAGGAAAAAAAGACTTATGTGTCTTAGGTTCACAGTGTTAGGGGTAGTACATCTTTTACTACACCTTCAGATCAAAACCCTTCTTTAATACCTCTCTACATGACTACAAGCATGAAAAATGAAACTATTTCTGACTTTTTCAATTTGTTACATATGACTGGGTTTTTATGCACAGTATATGCTTTGAAGTGAACATGCATGAACAATTTTCATTTAAAGATGGCTTTTTACCATATAAGCTTGCTAGGAAGCTCCAAATTACTCTGCTTTTATCCACGAGATCCAGACTGGAAACCATGGAGAAAATCTGCCTTTAAAAAATAAGCATATAACTTTTTGAACAGGGAACTATTCCGTTGATGAATGAACTCCAGACTCAGCTCAGCAGTTATGCCTGTAAATGAAGAGTGCAAACCAAGCTTCCCATGCAATGATTCCATAAGCATCAGCACTGCAAGAGTCACACATCTTACATTTGGGGAAGGATCCGTTTGTTCATACTTTGTATCTTCCTTCCCATTTGCTTCAGACTGTTGCAGTTGGTATGATCTGCCTTCAATGAAAGTAATATAGTCTTTGTAAGAGCATAACGGGCCTGCCAGGATACCCATGAAATTACAGTTGTAACTTAAATACTCCAGTAGACTTGGCATGCGTCTGTAATTCAAAGACAAGCAACTGGTGAGATGGATTGTGTAGTTCTTCAGGATTTCCACAGTAGGAAAAGTCACACTCCATGCTACCACTCACTCTAACTGCAGTAAAAACCACATGGACGAGAGCAGTTTGTCTGTCTTTTGTAATCACAGCTTGAAACATTCTACACATAGCATTTCTTTCCAATCCATACTGGGCATTTCGAGACAGACCTCCTGAACTCTACTGAGTCTCTCCTTGCCCAGCAGAGGTGTTTGACTGAAGCTGAGCCTGAGGAAGGAAAGGGAGGGTTGTTTTCCTAAATGTTTGTTCAACTGTATAAACTATTTTTCCCTCAACAATTGAATCAATAAACAAAGGTTTGGGCTAACTGGCAATCATTTCAATTAAAACAAATGTCTCAACACTCTCTTGTCCAAAGCAACATACTATTTTCACGTGTCCCAAATAAAGTACTGAGAAAAGGCAAGTTAAATACTGAAAAACAAAATTTAACAATGTTTCTTCACCAGCTACTTCATATGTGCACTGTTTACTAGTCTTCTATCTGATATGGCATTCATTGGCATAGACTGCATAGAACTTAGAATGTTCTTTCTAAATAACTATAAAATCTCCTCCTAGTGATATTTTTCAAAAGAACAGATATACAAATTAAACTAAAAATATATAAAAACATGGATCTGTTTTACATGACCTTATAAACTCTGTCTTGAACCTGAGCTATAGAAACTGCAAAGAGCATTAAGAAAATACACAAAACATCCCCAAAGGACAATGTCTGAAAGCCTACCTTACAGCTAAACACCTCTGGGATGGAGTCAAGTCTTCATTTTTTCGAAACATTCCTAGGGAAGAGGACAAGAAAAAAATAAAGAAAAACTAAATCCTCCCATATTTTACTCAGCAGAACAAGTTTCATGCTGTAATGTAATTTCTTATGGCTCAAGCAATTTCAGAGCTATTATGTCACATAACATTTTTGCTGGAGTTGGATCAAACAATTCTTACTGAAAAAATCACAAACTCTCATATCTTCAGTTCTATCCAGCAGTGAAATCATGTGGATTTCAGGAAAGCACTGAGAACTTGAAAAAAGTGTTAACAAAAACTATTCTTCTACATTAGTTGAGACTTCAAAGTCTGCAGGTTTTAAACCCTTTATTTCCAATTCTGGAAACAGGATAAGCCCCAAAACACAGCCATTGTCATAGCCATAGTCACTGCAGTTTCAATGCATGAAATGGACACCGTCCAAGAGAGATTTCAGCAACTGGAAACTTAGAAGAGACCTCAAGAACAGCTTTGTACTGCAAATAAAGGTCACGACCAAGCTCCAGTGAAGCAGGCATGGCAGTAAAGGGTGCCACAGCCTTCTTCCTGAGCACTAACAAGAAGCTCTAATCCCTGCTAGCAGAAGGGGGCAGTCCAAGTCTAAGTTCAGCAACAAGACTGAGTTTACTTCTTGCCATATGTGGCTATTTCTGAAATGCTGGCAACCTATCCCTGAAAAATAGTCTTCAAAATCTCTCATGAAAGAGAGAAGTAAAACATAAGACTTTCAACATTGTCATTTATTATGAAATACACTAATTCAGGGGAACAAAAACAGTAAGAGCTCCCTCCTTCAGACAGCCCTGGCTAATACCAGCCAGCACTGTCTGCCAGAATGACCACTTCAGCTGCTCCTGCAGCCTTCTCTAGTGGCTCAGACATGCCCACATGCAGCCATTTCCTGCTGTTCATACTTGCATTTTTTCTTTGCCATTGCAAGTACTAAAACCTTTATCCACATAGCTTCCTAAAGGACATCAAATTTATGGGATCACACTTCAATTATCTTTCCCCACAGCAGTGCTGAAACCCAGCAGCCAATTTCAAATCAAGTTTGACAAAAGAGCAGGGCAATCTAAATATGAAATCCTAGTGTGCTTTATGAAAATAGGTGTTTCTATAGAAGATCATCCTCCTGTCATAGAAAGGTTGCCTTCAACCCCACTCCTTGATGCCAGTAAATCCACAGAGGGGAGCCCTTATTCTTGATCCAGGATAAGTTTCAACTGGAGCCAATTTTTTTTAAGATATCAAAATCAGTCAGCCTTATGACAAAAAAAAGATTGAGGAGCTGAGGGGAAGTAAAAGCTAATTTAATTCTATGACTCATGGAAACACTTGTTATCTACAAAGAAGGAAATTCTGTTGTCTTAGTGTGTGACTCCAGTGTGGCCACAATCTACACACACTTATGACTTCAAAACCACACTTAAAGTCTTCAACAAAGCTGAGAATACAAAGGGAGTTACCAACTTGCCACCTCCTCTCTTTCAACATAGCCTGGGAAAATGCCTTCCTTGGTCCTGATCCTTCACAGTCAAAAGTTATCCTCATTCATACTCATCCAAGGCAAGAAACTGAAAAACAAATTATCACCCCCTAACTTCACGCAGCACCTTTGATGCCTCAGGTTTTAGCTTTTCTACTTTTCAGATTCTGTGCTGCTTTAGTGTGTGGGTCTGGGCTTCATATTAGGGGATGGTAAGCTCTCTTCACAGAGTAGGGAGACAAAACAATTCCTTCTCTAGCTGGGGACCAAGGACAGCCAATCCAGATCTCAGGCCCAAGAGTATAAACAACATGGACTGAAGAGAGAAAAACAAGAAGGATGGGACTTCATGGGCTGAAGCTGTAATTGGACAATTAGCTCCAATATGCTAATGGACCAGAACTTACAAAAGTGAGAGACCCCGTGCCTGGTCATCCATTCTTGTGACCATTTTGGGTTCACCTGCAGTGTAGCCCTGGCTGGGCTCTTGTGCTGCCCAAGGTGGATCTGTTGAGGCCTCCTAATAAATCCCTACTTTATTCTTTAGCTCTGTCTAGTCTCTGCTCTAGGTCAGCCTTCACAAGGCATCACCTTCTCTTCCTCATCATTACATTTTCACATATTTTCCTTGGTTCTGTAGCAACAGCTTTTACAATGATAAAGGCACTGAATAAAAACTGAAGAAGCATTTTGAAAGATTCTGTAACCTTTAAGGCCATAATATTACAGTTCTCAGGCAGTCAATCTCTGAATTTAATACAAATAAATTTAACACAAAGACACCTATAGATGGATGTAGATCCCATCACATAGTGAAATGTGTCATTCACAGCCTTCAGTCTCTCAGAGCCCACACAATGTAAACTGAGTGGAGCAGGAGCCTCCTTTGCCATTATATTCCATATAAGCATTTTACCCTGAAGTCAGAAAGAGGAAGTGATCACCCAGTGTGTCCAAGTGAACTTGCATAAAGCCAGATTAGTCATTAAATAAAAGGTAACTAGTCAAATGAAATATTTCATATTACAAATGTGTGACAAAAAAGGAGGAAAGACCCTCAGACCTGAAATAGAAGAATCTATATTAATTGATTAATGGAATATGATCTGTGGTTTTGGAGAGGTAGGAGGAAACAGGTTTAAAACAGGATTTAGTTATGTTATGTTATGTATGTAATTGTTACATATATACACATGTAGTCATTTAAGGCCCAAATAACTTTGTGAGCAATGCACTTGCTGTCTAAAACATCCAAGTAGGCCTCCATTAATTTTTCATTTCCCTGTCTCATGAAGGCTTCCCTCCAGCCAGCAGATTCTTTGAAGTCAGGTTAGTGGCTTTCCCTGTTTGTTGGGGCTTTTTTTTAAATGCCTTCTCAGTGCCTTCAAGGCCCATTTATCATCTTAGCACAGCATGCAAGAACATGATGATCTCTGTCATACTCTTGAAAGCTTTCAGGAAGCTGCCATTAAGATTTTTTAAATCATAGAAAATAAATATGGAAGAGGTGCTCTTACATTGCTGTTTATTCACTATGAGATGAATTAATAAATACACATTCACTACTTCCCAGGCCCAAGGGAACAGAGACCTGATAAACCATAGCTGTTCCCTACCTACTACACACTGGAGATGAAGAACTCCCACTTCAGTAGCGCACTGCTGCTAGGGAACTCATGAGGTTTTGTAGCATTCCTTTGAGGATTTTAAGAATTGCTTTCTTCTGTCCTAAAGGAAGAGACTACCACAACAACTGCAGCTCCTTCTTACTAACAAGTCACACAGCAGAGATTAGAGAAAATGGGTTTTATTGAACATCTGTTAGAGAGGTGAACTCAGCAACTGCAACTCCATTTTCGCATCTGTAAAGAAGAAAGACTCCTATGTTCCTTCCTTGGTAAAAGAATTATGTAAATCATCAGTAAAAAAAACTTTCCCAAGTGGCCTACATCATGAGGAAGTTCTGTCTTTACATTCCTTCTCAAGAGCCTATATCCTAATGGTAACAAACCCAACACTCTTAGGCACACACCACTATCCTGCCACACAGACTTTATTATGGGATATTATGACTGCTTCTGAGCTCTCACTACACCAGTGTTTACAAATATTATCACCCCATCTTTGTGGGGGTGATAATATCCACTTACCCACTTTTATATTTGTATGGAAATCTGGCTAATCAGTAACTAAAAATGCCTAGACACAGGATTATACATTAATAATAACCATAGATCCTACCACAGGTTCTGTTGCAATTACAGTAAATTTTTGTAGTCCTGAATTGAATCACCAACTGAGCCCAAATGCTGTTGTTATTAAAACATTTTAAGATCCAACACAGCCAATAAGAGTTTTAGCTGTTATTACCACACTGGCAGCAACAAAGGCAAATAGGTAGAATGCCCACTGAGTAAAATTGGAAAAAACCTACAAAAAAAGCAAGAAAATGTACAAGTCTTCATATCCAGAGAGCCATACAAGCAAAACAGAGGCACAAAACTATACTTGAAAACTTAGAAGGGGAAAAATACAATATAATTCCTTTAACCACTAAGGACATATATGATAAAAAAATATTTGGTAACTGATACAGAAACAATAATCACCATGCTGTCACTATCATAACAGAGAGCACATTAAAAAAATAAATAAAAATAAAGAGGTAGATGGAGACAGAGCATTAAAAGGAAATCCTAACTATTATTTTTCCAAGAAAGCAACAAGTTACCAGATAAAATCCCCAAAACAGATCCACACCATGGCAGTTTCACTGATATAATTAACAGAAACATTAGAAAGCAATGCTTTTTGTTAAACAGCTTCAAATTTTTTGTTCTAATAAAAATAAAATTCCTTTTTCTCCCTTAACTCTGTTATTTGCCTGAAGTGTTGCTTAAATAAATCTAAATCTTCACATAAAGAATTAATATGGACATCAGCAGTTTCTAAATATATAAAAACATTTCTCCCTTTAGAATACACATGTGAGATGCCAGGAATAATCAGCAAAAAATACAAAGCAAATTTTAACACACTGACTACTCATTTTTGGCATTGCTCATTTCAGTAACAAGGAACTGCAAGGTAAGAGCTACTAAAGACTGAAGTTCAAAATGTAGATCAGAATACATGAAAGGCATACTCCAAATCTCTTCAGGAGTAAGTTTGTGATCCATGCAAACTTCTGGAATGTTTGTATTATACAGCAAGCTTAAAGTACAGTACCACAGAATAAGCTGAATTGGAAGGGACCCCCAAGGATCATCAAGCCCAAATTGTATGCAACTTGCATTTAATTTCCCTGCTTAAAAAATCCCTCATGGTAAGAGCACAAGGGCCTAACAGTTACAGGGGTAGCTGCTATTTGTATATGGGATTCCATACTAGTTTTCAGCTTGGAATCAAGCATATCCACTTAGACAGACACTTGAATATGCAGCAAGAGTGAGTGGCCTTTGTGGCTACACTCAGTTCACTCCAGGACTTTCAAATGAAACCAGCTGAAGACAACAAACTGGCTGCCATGGAAAGATCAAGTTCAGAAGACTGGCCTTTACCAAAAACCAACCTAGCTACCACTGGAATCTTGAAGTTTAACAGAAACTTCCAACACAGCAACATTTTTTTTCCAGCTGTTTATTTTCATTACACTCCTTGGATGTACTGATAAAAAATGAGGGAAGAAAATAAATTGTTGTTTAACATAGCCAAGCTGATCTGACTAGAGGCTCAGAGATGCCATGAATCACTTACAACTTTTTGCAACACTACCTCCTCTCCTGTCCCTGTATCTCTAAGTAATTTCCAGTGGAAGCATGTACCTTTGTAGAGTGAACAAAAGCCCACTGACAGCAGGGCTTGTTTTCATTAATTTTTCATGAAGGATCCCTTTTAGGTTGTCTAAGATTAAAAAATTTTGCTTTAATGCAATTTCAGTCTCCTCTGCACATCTTTGCTTATCTCATGACACCAGACTATCAGCTGCTTCTGAGCTCACACTGGCCACATCAACTTTTGAAAGTCGTGTTCACAACTGCAACTGTGACCATCCAACTCAAGAAATCTGCTAAACTGCTGACACAACCAGAGAAATTTTTCCAATGTACTGTTAGTTACTATTCAAGGCTGACAAAGAATTTAGAAGTCAATGAGGAACCAAATGTCAAGACTTACACTAAAAACTCAGTGTATAAAGAAATGCAGAAGAAAATACAAATTATCTGAATTAATTTAAGTAGGAAAAAATCTAGTCTAGTTCATGATGAAAGTTAAGAATAGAGCTGACTAAATGAAACATTTGTCTCAAGATTGCCAGGAACACTCACGTGCTTGTTCCATACCACCACTCCACTATTTGTGCATGAGGTCAGCAAATTCAGAATAGCTCTTTCCCCTAGCAAAATAATAGTAAGAGGAAGCATTCATGCCTGATACCAGAACTATTACTTCCTTATAATAACCTGTTTCCACTAACCTGTGTACTCTGTACTTAAGTTGATTATAGATTGCAAAATTACTACTTCCGAATATATTTTCTCTGGAAGTTAAACATCAATGTCTTTGACCAACTAGATAAGCCTAGCATTATTATTTTCATTCATACAAAAATATTTTTAAAAGGTCTTTTCCCAGCTTTTCATATTCCTGAAAATTATTGCCCACAAGTTTCTCTAGACAGTGCCACTTAACAATGGAAAAGACATTAAAACACCAAGAGCACTAAAGCGAGGATACATATGAGACAGATACACATTAAACTTCATGTACAGTATTAATAAGCAATATCAGAACAGCAGGTGTCTTTATCCAGTTGTCTGGAACTACACTCCCTAATCTTCAACTGACATCTGTAGCTTCAAGTGATTCAAGCTAATTGGACAGATTTAGGAGATGACATTTTCAAACTTTAAAATGAAAATTACTCCTTTAAATTTTGAGGTAACTGAAAACCTAGCTATTCCACACATGAAAGCCAACATTAGGATTCATTGTCACAGGGCCCACTTATCATTTTGGATACATCTGACAGGAGAGCAAACATAAACATAATTCGATAATCTCCCTGTTCACCACAATCTGTTAGCTGTGAGTGTAATTATGATACTAAACAAAATGAAACACACAAAGATTTTATAAAAATCAGCATATATGGCACAAACTAGGGAAGTGCTCAAGAATTAGCATTTTAAAACAAAAGGTACTCAACAACTGCAATTACATGTCCTTTTTCTATCCATCTGTCAGTGACAGAGGTCTCTGAATCTGGAAGTTCTTTAGTTAACTCTCACAGTCAATACCCCAGCCCAAAAGAATATCACTGATCTTTACACTTTGACTCCAGAAGCGTCACTGGTATGATAAGTCATATCTTCTGCACAGTGCCAGCATTTTTAGATCTTCTGTAGAGTTGGAACAACATTTCCCAGTACTTTCATTAATAAGCATCAATGAAACAACTGAGACACAGAAATTTATTTTGCCTTGAAACATAAAACTGATCTAAAGTAATTCACTGACTCATGATGAACATCAGTAAAATTTGTTTTGTATGGAAAATTAAACACAGTAAAGAAATCTTACCATCATGAATCTCAAATGCCAAACTAGTGATCTTCTGTGTAATTATCATCATTGGACTGTCACAAAAAAGGGAAGAAAGAACAATTTAGATACAAATTCAGGATTTTCTTTCACTTATAAATACCAGGGGAATTTTATATTAGGACTCTAGGTTAACTACTCTAAGTTGGAACATCTTCAATGCAAGAACAAAGGGTTTTGTTTTTTCACTCAAGCCATTGCACAGTTTTCAATGCAAAGAGAAGAATTTAAGCCTTAAATGCAGTATTTGATAACACCTGTCTTTTATTGTTGCATTAGGTTCTACAAATACAGTTGAAGTGTTTCACATGTATTTTTTACTAACATAGTTTATTTTTTTTTTACAGGGAGAAGAGTAAAAAAGAAAGGACAGAGCAATTATATTCATTGCAAGATACAGCAGCAGTAATCAAAGGACAAGAAAATTATAACAAAGTTGAATATTAAAATAAGTTCTTTAGCTATGCAGACCACTTCCATGGTTTCTACTAACACCTGATCCCATCTTTGATTTTTCCATCGAGAATTATTATTTGCTCCAAGTAAACATACCTGGCAAAACATAATTATGCTGACTCAGAGTTCACTTTGTTCTGAATTTGGTACACTTGAGTGAATCTTAAACTGTCCAAGAAATACTCTGCCATGGCTATCCAAGTCAGTTTTGTACTGAGAAATTATACTATTTTCATAGCATCTAAGAGTTTTTGCCCGATGTGAATTTCAAAATTATAAACCTCCTCCCTGGGGTAGGGAAGCAATGGGGAATGCATAAAGTAAACTACTACAATTCAGAAATTTAATTTTTAAATCAGATCTCAAAAAAAAACCATCAGGGGTTGAATTTACCTAGAAGTATCTGAGCTGGAGAAAAAAAAAACCCAAACAACAAAACCAACAACAATCACCAAACAAAAAAAAAAAAAAAACCAAGAGCAAACAAAAAAAACCTCTCACAATAAAAAATAATGTTGTACAATGGGCATTTAGTTTTGGTCATGTCTTGAGTGTACTTGGCATCTTTGTAACATATTAAGTTGGCACAGAAACACAAATCCAAAAGCCATCAAGTTCTCCTTCATTAACAAGGCAGTATTTTGCCACATGGTTCAGTCCATCAAATTGATTTTCTTTTTAGTTAATGGTTAAAATGGTTTCATGTTGGAGATTTTTTCAGGGATGGCCTAGAAGGCAGCTGTGAGGAGCAGATTCTCTCAGCCTGTTTCTGTGAACAGCAGAGGTTCTCAGGTTATTTTTAATTACAGGTAAAAGTGACAAACATGAAGGCCTTGAGAGCCTTGCACATCAGAGTTCTCAGGCAGCTTT